AGTTAGCATAAATCAGTTAAATGACGAAAAATTAGGTGTCTATTTACTTGTGAAAACTCAGTGTATATAAGCACACATATATAAACACAATACAATGGCCAGCTATCAGTTAATAGCTGAAAAGACTCCATTTAACAAAAATAAATAAACAAACACAGGTATTGGTCAATTGCAGGAAGCACGTTTCGTTGTTGGTAAATCTTACTTGTTTTATGTATAAGCCAATTCTGATCTTAACAACTAAAATCTAACGTTTGTCGTGCGTAATAAATGAAAATAATTATAATTATTCCAACTTTTCCCAATAAAAACAGACTTTGATGAAAGTTCAATATGTTCGATGTGCTACTGTATCAGGAACAATCTCCATTTGATATTCTATTACTGGTCGTTATCAAGAGCAGAGTCCAAGTGTTACTGAGTTACATCTCTTTATCAATAACATTGTCCATGGGTTACGAAATTACAGTTCTTTATCAATAACACTGTCCAGGTGTTACAGCTCCATATCGAGAACAGTCTCCATGTGATACAGTATTACAGCTACAAACCAACAATACTATCCATGTGCTACTTGGTGAGAAAGATAACAATATGTTTCTGGTGTAACTATCTATATGTCTAATAACGCTATGTAAAACTCCAGATTTCTTGATATATTCCAGCACATGACTTAATGGAATTTAAGAAACAAATGTGTGCTTTACAAAATTGAAAGCTTCAAAGCTGAACCATCATATCACGTCTGTAGGGCCTGTTTAACAGTTCGTTTGGTTAAAGTTTAATTGGAATAGGTATTACTAGTAGCAGTGAGCTAATTACAATTTAAACAGACAGTCGGGTAATTTTCTCCATTTTCTTTTTTGTTTTTTGTTGTTGTTTCAGAAGTACGTGTTAGGCTACTTAAGGACTATTTGCACATAGGCGTTCCTAGTTTTGAACTTACAGGTTAGACGAAAGCCATATGCTCAACAACACACACTGTCAACTCTTGGGTTACTCTTGTCTGAGCAAATACTTGGATCTGACCGTTACCCTCTAAGCACATCCACGAGCCAAACCAACCAAACCAAAAAACGGGGTAGTAATTTTGACTTAAAAACGTTTAATCCTAAACTACTGATTAGGACTGAACACAATCGGGGATGTTCAGAAAAAAATATATTCGTCCCCACTCAAGATATTAGAAAAACTAATTGAGAAAAAAATAAATAAATAAAGAATAATATAATAATAATAATTAAATGATAACAATAATAAAATAACAACCTTGCATATTTGATTTTTCAACTTGAATGTCATGAATGTCAAGCAAAAGCAAGAGAACCGAAGGAGGGTGGGCTATTAAGTATTAATCTTCCACGGCCCCGAAGTTCGGAGCGCTTTTTTAACATCCGTGTGGTCAGATTAAATAGGAAGTCCCTTTCCCACTTGAAGTTCACCAAGACTGGTAATGAGCAATGCTTGCTTTATAAACTTCTGGATAACTAAAAGCAGTTACCCCGCCTGTCCTGTGCCCAAAGGATCGCCAGATGAGTAGAGATCAATGGATGTCGCCTGGGGGTTACTTACCTGTTATGTAACATTCAAACTATGCTGACACCAGAGGGTTAAATAACTAATATGTAAAATGAAAATTATGCCGACACTTGAGGGAGACATAACTATTACGTCATAGGCATCGGAGGGAGAAAACGTTCCAGAAGTGGCACTATATGGTACATTGCTAAGAATGACGCCGTAGTTCCACAAGGTGGCACCAAAGGGCGCTGTTCTCTTAGGGGAGAGGCAACATCATAATTCGATATGAGAGGGTCTGTGACTATAGATAAATGATGTTACATAGGTTCTATAGGTTACCAAGGTTACACAAGCAGATAGCGCTACTAAGGTTCATTAGGTGGAGTTTATTACTAAGGGTATAGTTTGTATAAGCAAATGGCCTAACTAGGCGTATTGCATGTTTTACAAATGTAAAAGTAGGTGGATTGTGTTACTAAGGTTCTAGAGGTGGATGGTGTTACTAAGGTTCATTAGGTGGAGTTTATTACTAAGGGTAGAGTTTGTATAAGCAAATGGTCTAACTAGGCGTATTGCATGTTTTACAAAGGTAAATGTTGTTAGTAGGTGGATTGTGTTATTAAGGTTCTAGAGGTGGATGATGTTACTAAGGTTCATTAGGTGGAGTTTATTACTAAGGGTAGAGTTTGTATAAGCAAATGGCCAAACTAGGCGTATTGCATGTTTTACAAAGGTAAATGTTGTTAGTAGGTGGATTGTGTTACTAAGGTTCTAGAGGTGGATGGTGTTACTAAGGTTCATTAGGTGGAGTTTATTACTAAGGGTAGAGTTTGTATAAGCAAATGGCCTAACTAGGCGTACTGCATGTTTTACAAAGGTAAATGTTGTTAGTAGGTGGACTGTATTACTAAGGTTCTAGAGGTGGATGGTGTTACTAAGGTTCTAGGGGTGGATGGTGTTACTAAGATTCATTAGGTGGATGGTGTTACTACGATTCTATAGATAGGTTGCTTACTAATGTTTTATAGACAGATAGTATTACTAAGGTTCTATAAGCATATGGTCTTACTAGGTGTATTGTGTGTGTGTGTTTTACAAAGACGGATAGTGTTTGTATAGGAAAACAATGTTACTAGACTTCCATAGAACTGCATACAGATTTCAACTTGTCACAACTTATGCTCATAATTTTCTTATATATATTGAATTGTATAACATGTGTTTTACAAAATCAGATGGTGCAGATAGCAACTTGTGTTAGTAAGATTAGTGATGTTAGAGTGGATGGTGGTTTTATGAACAGATAGTTCAATGAGCTCATCATAGGGTGTCGCAATGTGTCTCAACTTGTGATTACATCATGAATGTATAGATTTAATTGTATGTCCTACAAATTAAAATATATTATTTGCATTTCTTTATTAGTTTAGCATAACAATAAAAGTGTTCTTGACAAAATATTTTATTTTATTATAGCTTTAATTTATAAATTTATTTGTATAACAAAGTCAGATGGTGTTTCTAAAGATGGACAGTGTTACCGTATTTCCATAGTACTGCATGCAGATTTCAACTGATGTTTATAGTTTTTCATTTGTATATCTAACTGTATTAGAGGTGTTTCATAGGTAGACGGTTTTATTAACACATTTAGCATTCTGCTGAAAATGTTTTATCACACCTAACGTTTCGTTTTTATAAATATTGAACGAGACAGTTAGTATAATCAATTGTGTTTTTTATGATTTATTACACATTTAACGTACATTAATGTAGTTTTCATTTCTATATTGCATTTGTAAAACACACTTTATCCTGAAAATGACGTTAATTTAATTCTCTAAATATAAAATAATTTCATGTTTAGCTGTACAAGTCAATTTGTTATACTAAAATGTAAAGGGTCTACATGAATATTTGTGTTTAACTATTACTATTCTACCTTTTCTGTAGATATTTTCATAAATTGTTTCTTTCTAGCTTGGAACTTTATTTATAAGGCTTTGTGGTTTTAGAGTACAAGTTATAAACAAACTTTCTTTATTCATAAGTCAAAACGTCTACAACGACTATCTTGCACAGATTTCTAACTCACACAAATACTCTTTAAGAGGTCCAACTTAATTCACAAATGAAATTAATTTATAACCGAAAAAGAGTTGACAATCATAATCTTGAAAGGACTTTTAATTATATATAAAGTAATTATTCTTATTCCAACATCTTTACTGTTTGTCATCGCATAATATACTTTACAACAAAAATGTAAAACCATAGACTTTACAAGCATACTGAAATATTTAATAAACAAACTTCAACAGACACTGATATACGAAAATATCCTAACTCATACGTATTCTGTAAATTATGTTCATATTACTATTACAGTTAGAGTTATAAACTATGTTCATTTGTGAAAAATGTATTTGATGCTTTGGTGAACTAATATGATTAAATGTTATACTGTCATAAAATTTCAACAAATATTAAACATATACATTTTAAAAATTATAAATTGACATGACTTTAGTCTCGTACATATAGTAAGAACTAGAAATAACGTATCTTACCAAAAAGGTATATGCCTATGTGTTGACAATCATAATCATGAAAGGACTTTTAATTACATACAAAATTCCAGACCTTTTAGTGGTATTGACCATTTATTCTGCCAGTTTTAAGAGGGGACTGATTGTTTAGCTGTGTGAGAACCTCTCCTTCCCATTACGTTTCCTAACAAAGCTTATCAACGCCATTTGAATTGGACTTCTTAAAGAGTATTTGTGCGAGTTAGAAATCTGTGCAAGATAGTTGTTGTAGACGTTTTGATTTATGAATAAAGAAAGCTTGTTTATAACTTGGACTCTAAAACCACAAAGCCTTATAAATAAAGTTCAGCAAGAAACAAGCTCTACACATAAATTAGTGAAAATATTTACATAAAGGGTATAGTAGTAATAGTTAAACACAAATATTTATGTAGACCCTTTATATTTTAGTATAACAAATTGACTTATACAGGTAAACATGAAATTATTTTATAATATTTAGGAAATTAAGTGTAAATGTCCTTTTCAGGATGGTAATTTTAAAAAGTATGTTTTGCAAATTAAATATAAAATCGAATATTATACCGCAGTATCCACAAAGTTTACTTAGTGTGGAGCATTTCTTTGCTATCCGCACGCGAATAGTAAAGAAATGTTCCGCACTAAAGAACATTTGTGGATAAACAAATGCGTTCTGAATTAAATATACTACAGTATGTTGAATGTGTATTAAATCATAACAAACACAATTGGCTATACTAACAATATTTATAAAAACGAAATATTAGATTGATAAAAACTTTTTCACAGAATGTTAAATATGTTGATAACACTATCCGCCTATAGAAATATATGTAATCTATAAATTAAAACTATGAATATAAGTTGATACAAGTTGAAGTCTGTATGCAGCCCTACGGAATTATAATAACACTATCTTCTATAGAAACCCCATCTGCCTTTGTAAAACACACCCTATAGTACCTACTAGCACTATCCGCCTATAGAATCTCAGTAACACCGTCTGCCTATAGAACCTTACCAACACAATCTATCTAGTAGTACCAGCCACTTGTGTAAAACATGTAATATGCTCAGTAAGACCATTCGCCTTTACAAACACTACCCTTTGTAACACAATCCATCTATAGAACCTTAGCAGAAGCATCTGCCTATAGTAACATGCCCTCTGGTATTTCACTATGATGTCACCCTACCTCCTACGAAGCAGCGCCCTCTGTTGCCACTTCATGGAACTATGACGTCACCCCTAGCAACGCGCCTTCTAGTGCATCTTACATAAAAGTTATGTAACCTTCAGGTGTCCCCATAATTTGCATATTATATAATAGTTATGAAACCCTCAGATGTCCACATAATTTGTATATTGCGTAATAGGTATGTAACCATTAAGCGGTATCCTTTGATCTCCTCTCACCTTGCGACCCCTCATTGATGCAGCATCCTTTGGTCACAGAACAGGCAGGGTAAGTATAACATGAAGTTGTCTATTACCATTATAAGCAGCTGTTGCGATGGAAACAATGTCAGTGACGTTAGGTGTCAATTTGGCGAAAAACGGAAGTTTTACAGCTTCTCGCACCCACGAACAAATATTGTGAACCAACTCAGGACTCTAGGAGGAAAGAATAAATACAACATTTATGTAATATGTAGTATTACAACTTACTTTGTATGGAGAGTTTCAATTCAAATATCTAGTTTATTACAACTTACTCTGTATGGAAAGTTTCAATTCAAATATCTAGTTTATTTCAACTTACTCTGTATGGAGAGTTTCAATTCAAATATCTAGTTTATTACAACTTACTCTGTATGGAAAGTTTCAATTCAAATATCTAGTTTATTTCAACTTACTTTGTATGGAAAGTTTCAATTCAAATATCTAGTTTATTTCAACTTACTTTGTATGGAAAGTTTCAATTCAAATATCTAGTTTATTATAACTTACTCTGTATGGAAAGTTTCAATTCAAATATCTAGTTTATTATAACTTACTCTGTATGGAAAGTTTCAATTCAAATATCTAGTTTATTACAACTTACTTTGTATGGAAAGTTTCAATTCAAATATCTAGTTTATTACAACTTACTTTGTATGGAAAGTCTTAATTCAAATATCTAGTTTATTACAACTTACTTTGTATGGAAAGTCTTAATTCAAATATCTAGTTTATAACAACTTACTTTGTATGGAAAGTTTCAATTCAAATATCTAGTTTATTACAACTTACATTGTATGGAAAGTTTCAATTCAAATATCTAGTTTATACACTTTTTTTTCCATCGATGCAGTTTTGCCAGATGTACGATAATTATCATATTTGTATGATAATTTTGAAAGGTGCTCACAATGTACGATATAGATGTACGATAATTATCATATCTCTATGATAATTTTGAAAGGTGCTCACAATGTACGATATTTTTCTCATCTCATTACATTTGAAACATCTCATCGCTTTCTTATAGCTAGGAGTCGGCAAAATATTAATACATATATTTCCGCAGTTTTACAAGAACACATCCAACGATTTCATTATAATATAAGACAGACATCAACATTACTGGATCATTTGATCTATTGCCTCCGTGTGTTTATGTGTTATGATGACGTTCAGTTCTAACCGCCTTTACACAACGTCGTAAAATAGGTGCACGGGCAGACTAGCACAATTAAAAAAGATTGAAGGCAAGCACATGTGAATGATTTCTAAAACATTTAAATAAAATACTATATTAGTGTTAGACAAGAGAGCTGAACAGCAAAGACGAAAGAATACCCATAGTATGTAGTGTTTTCTGAAGAACAAACAGAAAGGTAAACAAAACGCAATAGTGGGCAGTATCATGCAGGATAACGCAGGATTATGATGATACAGTAGACAATACAGGTCAACTTGATGTCATAATTGGTATAAAAAAAGACTTCAACTGGCATATGCTTAAATATTTGCAGCACGATATTTTTTTAAATACAATAATTTTAAGGTTCCAATTTGATAGTTTCACGTTTTAGATCTGGCAACACTGCATCCATGGTTGAATTAATTTTCAAGATAAAGGCATTTACTAGACAATCACATTTAAAATGTCCGTATAAACTATTAATCTGTGGCCAATCTACATAATTATTTGACCAGAGATCAAGCCTTTCATTATATAAGATAAACAAGTCATGCGTTTGTTAATAAAAATTCAAAACTTATTTCTGTAACTTCAAGCTATTCGGTTATCATTTGTTTTCATGTCAATACAAAAATTATATTTAAAATTATCTGCAAGTCTCGTTTAATTTACTTGTTTGTCAGAAGTAAAGACTGGATGGTTTAAGCCAATAAAAGCAATTCAGTGGCGCTTCTAGATTGTTAAATTCTAGTTGTCTTTTAGTTATCAATATACTTTGTCCTTAACTCATTTATATTTTTACCTTTAGCAATAATATTAAAATACTCTTTCCTCGGGGCTACATCATACTGTCCTTAATACTAGAGTACGGGTTTTATCTAAAATTCATATGTTTGTTAATTCTTGATTCTCAGGGTTTCATAATAGATCTAATATTCCTAGACTTACACCAAGAATATGGACACTGATATACAACTCTAACCATCTGTCATGTCTGTATTCTACGTTTAAGTTTACATTCTACGAAATGTTCAAAGATTGAAGTTCACGTTTTGTTCTTTTCTTCGTGTTTTTACAATTGAAGATGTAGTGAGAGTGCGTTCATCTTCTGCACGGTTTAGAGGGAAAATATTCTACTCTGGTATTCTAAGGTGAAACTTATCTTTGGAATGAAGAATAACGAGGGAAAAACTGGAGGTAGGCACAACATCACATTCATTCAGATAGTAGTTGGTAATATTTCTAGTGTTGTATAGGATTTAGCGTAACAGTGTAACTTTATTTGATTACAGGGATTTCTAGCAGTTAATATAATATATCCCTGGTTACACCTGTGGAAAGTAAACTCACATTTCACTAGCGAGGTGTCTAATGGACTTTGTCTTTAAAGTTGAAGAGCCCTTTTAACTTAGATTCTGTTTTAAAGAAACATTTACTTGCTCTTTGATATTTTTTCTTAATTTTCTAGAAACTGGAGTTTGTCAGTCTGTTAATTTTGAATATTATATTTTATACTGCGATATTTACCATTTAAAAACTGTATAAATTCAATAATCGATTTAACATTATCAAATATCACAGGTTTAAAATGTTCAGGACAGGACTGTAACCAGACTTTTTTCTTGGAGAAACTGGAAAATGACACCAAAGCCATGAGCATAGCTGATCTCATAGCCACTCCATCAGTATATTCGTAGATTTTACCGTTAAACATTAAATGAGATTAAATTTGTACACAGTATAACTAAAGATGCATTTAAAACACTCTTATGTTTTGAAACAAAACATTCTCAACAAACATGAGGTTACCACACAGATTAATGATTTCTTGTAGAGGTATATTTGTAAATAGTGATTCGATATTATAACTATCTCAGTTAATATAGTTATTAAATTATGTTTCTTTTAGATATTTTAACTATCTCAGTTAATACAGTTATTAAATTGTGTCTCTTTTAAGCTATTAACAAATTCAAAACCATTCTAAACAGAATATTTATTCTGTACAAACTCTCAAAAATATGTCAACAATATTGCTAAAGGCTGATTCTAGAAACAGCTGGTCTAACTGGATATCCTTGTTTGTGAACCTTACAAAACGTCACACTTTTAAATCTACGATATGTAATTTTGGTAAAATTATTTTATTATGACACCATATTTTTTAACTTTGAAATATATCTCTTAAGTTAAGCTTCCCTTGTTGCTGTCTGATCACTCCTAATTTCTATTTATCCCTATTACTTAAAATAGCTTTCACTTTGTTCATGTAATTCACGTTACTTAAAATCGCAACCCCATTACCTTTATCCGCTTTAGTGATTACAAAGTACTTACAGTTTTTAAAGCTTTCAGAGCATGGTATTCAGCCTTGCTTAACTTTCTGTTCCTTTTAGTAAATGGTAATGTGCTAACGACTAGATGCTGTTCCTCTAGTCAGTGGTTTAAAATTAGGCAATAGAATGCTTTAACAGCTTAGTCAGAAATAGAAATAGCTATAAATTAAAGTACTAGGATGAGTTACAGGAACAATGTACAAGTGAAATAATAGTTATTGATAAATCAGATAATGAGAATGTTACTGTTTAATAAAATTATTATATTAATAAAGTAATGGGGATTTTTTATAATGAAACAAAATTCGATTTTGAGCTTACCAAAAAAAAAAGAGAAAATTATTGTTTATTAGATTTTAAAGCCAGCTGTTGTAAATGCAACTGAATATTCGAGGTTAAGGCTAAATGGCTCACTTTAACAAAGAGTGGTGTCCACTAGGTACGTATAATCATGAGTTAGCAGGTTATTTCGTTCATTACGTCCAATAATTTAATACGAATACATATATTATTAACGACACAGTCCACTTTCTAGATAAATTAAAACCCTTAAAGCTTAGCAATAGTGTTTTAATGTTTAGTGCGCTAGCCTTGTATTGAATCACTTTTTACGAACATACCGTTAGAAGAGACGTTGGACGTGTTTTAATTTATTCATAATATTGATAATTAAAACATATTTTAAAAAATTGTCAGATTTATTGGTGAAATATATGATAAGATAAAATGTGTAGTAGTGTAGTTTAGATAAGCATGATTTTATTATAACTGTTTTTATGTTACTTTGATAAACAGTGGTTAAAAGAATGACCTGAAGATTTTAAACATATTTATTATATGATATATATAGATGACCCCTTTATTATATTTAGAAAATCGCTTGTTTGGTTTTCTTAGTTAAGTACAAAGCTGCACAAGGGTATCTGTGTTGTCCTCACTACGGGTATCGAAACTCTGTTTTTAGCGTACAAATCTAGAAACTTACCGCTGAGCCATGGGGAAACCTATTTTTAGAAAAGATCAAACTGATAATTTTATAAATTATATAAACAAAAACTCAAGAATATATAACAACAAGAAAAGTTCAAATTATCATTTTTAAATTTACTTTTATAACCCTATAAGAATGAGTTACAGTTTGAAACTTTTCATAATAAAACGTTTTCTGGTTTATCCTTTCATTACAATAGTTTTGTTCCTGGTATATATGTAAAGTGAGTTTAATTAACATTTTAGTTCATAGAGATTTTATCATTGGTAATAATTTTTGTAATGCAATTAAAGAATTATAAAATATGTAAGATGGTTTATAAGAAAGATTGTTTATTTGTAATTAAGCACAAAGCTAGACAATGGGCTATCTGTGCTCTGCTCACCACGGGTATCGAAACTCGGATTCTAGCGTTGTAAGTCTGTAGACATACCGCTGTGCCACTGGGGGCATTTTAAGAAAGAATGAATGAATTTCTAGTAAATTTAATTTGAATTATAAAAGAATAATTCACCGAAATTGACTTAAATAAAGATATATCTGTTACAATTTTAAAAACAGTGGTTATTATTATATCGTACTTGAGAAGTGTCTTTTAATGTGAAAAAAAAAAGAATTTATGAAGATGTATAAAAAGTCATATACTAAAATTATGCTGATCTGTTTACTAAAACCATGAATTAGGATTAATATTTTTGTAATGTTAAATATAGCATCAATATTCTAGATGTAAGTCTAGGTATTTTAGGATCTACTATGCGATCCTTAGAATAAAGAATTAAGGAACCTAAGAATTTTAGATCAAACTAGATATCTAGTATTATAACATATTTGCTTTGAAACAGTGTAATTGATCGCCAGGGAAAGAATATTTTATGGTCACAGTTACAAGTAAAGATGTAAACGAGTTAAAGGTAAAATAAAGTCTATTGATTAATAGAAACAAACCGGAAATGAACAAACATTTAGTAGCACCACTAAATCACTCTTTTGATGAGAACTATATTACCCGAAAACGTATTATGATAAAGAATACCACTTCACCTGTCCACAAGCTAAGCCCATCCCTTTCTCTCCCATTCCGTGGGGGCAGGACAGATTCAGTTCCAAAGCATCCGCTCCAGCTTTCTATAATAAAATTAACAAAATTCCATAATAGATTAACTAAGAAATAATCAACTATTGAAATTATTAAACTATGAACATTTTCAACACAAATATAGTAAATGTTGAATTTACTACTAACACAGCATAATGCAATAGTTTGGTATTATAACTGCAACACCCTTGGGACAATCCCTATATATAAGGTAATATAAATATGCCATGCCATGCTTGCATAGCGGCTCATTGAATGGCTCTGAGTTTTTCAAATACAAACGTTTAGCTCATAGCTCCGTCATCACTTGGCCGATTTGAGGTCTAATTACAGTTTTGGACTCAATAAGTTAAACCCTTTCGATCGACATATTTGAGGGGGCCCAAGGTCTCATAGATTAGTTTACACTAATCCTGCCTAAAAGAATTTCAAGTACAGCGGCAATTAAGGATTCACTCTTGTTATTTCTGGTCTAAGGAGAAGTCGGCAATTTTTTTAAATTTTATTTAGAAATGTAATTATTTTGTCTAAAAAGAGGGTGAGACGACAAAATTCAAAGACAGACACGTAAATTTACCTTCCCATTTTTAATTTGCCGGTCGTATAAATAAGTTGAATCAGTGTGCGTCTCTTGAAGCAACCCGTTGACACGCAAAATCTACAAAATCGAAGGAAGGAAAACACCCAATCACCGTGTAAAATAAAATATACCCGGATGGTTGTTTAGCGTTTCCCCTTTTTCGACTAAAGCAGCTTTTTCAGTGGATGTTTAGATAGCATTGTTGCGAAGTTAGCTTCCCTTGATATCACGTGATTGACTAGTTAATGAGGGATGTTGCATATAATTTTTTGCTCCCGTTGTGTGTGAAACGTTAAAATTGTTTTAAGTGTATAATATTGCTGTTTGATATGTTTAGAAGAAAATCTAAGGTTTTGGTTTATTTTACGTTTCTGGCGTTCGTTTCGCATGAAATATGCAGGTAATCACCGACTAACATCCTGTGTCCAGGTATGGGCTGTCTCGTCGCAATTATATCAGTAATACACTATGATTCATCGCCTATCCTTTATTGGGCTGTGTGGCGTTACATTACAGTATTATATGGTTGGTATGGCTTATCTGATTGATATGAGGGCTGTCCTCGTGTTGTGTGATTGACCCTGTCGTCACCAGTGAAAAGGTTTCTAGACATTTGACGAAGAAAATATTGTACATTGTTCTTCAATCTGGATTCTTCTATTAAGAACAATGTATAAAAAGCAGAATGGTGTTATAATCACTTCTGTTTCTGTTGGACATCGAAGAGTGTGTGTAGTTAATAAGTAGGTATAAAAACTCGTTGTGAGTGTTCGGAGTTTTAATCTCCGATCGGTGTTCACTATCTTCATTGCAAATCTTTAAAAAAACCGTTTCATATTCAACATATCCGGATTCTTGCCACAAAAAGTGAGATGTGAAAGGATTCGTTACTTCTTACATATTACATTTGACTTTTTCGTATACTTTATTCTCTCGGTTTATTCCGTTTCACGTATCGTTTAAAGAAATTAAATAGAGACACAATGAAAAACAGTGAATCACTGAAAATCAGTTTATTAGCACTGCACAAATAAACGTTGATAAAAACAGTGTTTAACACTATATATTAAGTTTTGTTGTCATGCCACGGCCCAAAGAGCGTAAAAGAATTGTCACTAGAGCATAAAGTTCGCATAAAAGCTTTACTTGATGCTGGTTGGGCTCTCCGACAAATTGCTGCAGACTTATGTTCCCCAAACACTGTCAAGTACACCCTAGATTATGAGACCAAGACAGGTCAATTTGAAACTCGCTGATAATGATGTTAAGTATCATCATTTATGCAGCTTTCTGAACAGAAGGAAGACTGCCACTGATCTCCAGCATGAGATAAACTACCATGTATCAAATGACAGAAAAGTGTCCAGATCTACAATTTCAAGAAGACTCAACGAAAACGGATTATTTAATCGTGTAGCAGCTAAAAACCTTTACTTCGATCTCCAAGTATTGTCAAGAGACTGAAATTTGCTAAAATGTATAAAAACTGGACTGTTGATGATTGGAAAAGGGTGTTATGGTCGGATGAGTCCAAGTTTAAAATATTTGGTTCAAAACGTAGGTTTTAAATCCAACGGAAGAAATGTGAAAGATACTTACCTCAATGTATAGCACCTACCATGAAGCATAGGGAAGACAGTATGATGGTTTGGGGTTGTTTTTCTGCTGAGACGACAGGAGATATTTGTAATATAGATGGAGTAATGGACCAGTGCAATTACTGATCCGTCATGGTATACCCAGTGGTGTGCGTATTATTGGTAAATGATTCTACTAACAAGACGATAATGACCCCAAACACACATCCAACCCATGTAGAAATTACTTAGCTAACAGAAAAGCTGCTGGACTCATTTAAATGGTGCAATGACCCCAAGAGAGCCCCGATCTCAACCCAATTGAACAGATCTGGGATCTGATAGATCAAAAACTTGACAAATCAAAAGTTACTTCTAAAGAAACTTTATGGGGGTGTATTAGAGACATTTGTAGTAAAATCCCAAAGCACTTTGATTAATTAAGTATGTTGCAACAATGCCTGAAAGACTGTCTGCAGCAACATGGGGGTTGTTTGCTGAGCTCAAGCACTTCCACTGATTTTCTGTTGTACAAAATAAGAAGATTAATAAAATGTTGATGTTTCACCTGCGATTTACCTTCCATTGTTCTTTGAAAGTAGCCTGAAATCTAATTTTTGTTTTTGTCCTAACACTTTTGCACAGTACTGTAAGACAAGACAATTAAATATTGTTAATTTAAAGAGGGGAATAGGGATCGTCAAAAAAAGTACAGAAACAAGTTGGATCAAAATTCACAGATTATATTTTCAAGCCTACAACTAGGGACTCTAAGAAAAGTAAATAAACTAGGCTGGAAATAGTATCTACATTAGTTTCTCAAGCTACCAATCCCTATTTTGACTCCATGTCTACAGTACTTATCAATTTTAATGGAGTCAAAATAGGGATTTGTAGTTTGAGAAAATAAGGAGTGTCAATATGTTTTCTTATCTTCTGCACGGGATAGCTATTTCAACGATTTAATAACTTTTCTATAAAAAATGAGGTAGTAACTTTTTCTTTAAAACATTATCTTAAGTGGGGTAGGGAATTTGAAAATATTCTTAAAAACATTTAGGGAAGGTGCCCTCACCGGCTTTAAACAATATTTAAAGGAAAAATATCCGCTTAACCAAGTTTTATACGTAGAAACTAAAAAAACGCATTTTTATGTAAACCCAAATGAGATAAAGTAATACAAAACAAAATGCGTGTTTTATTATCTATTTTACTCTTTCACTTTGTCACAAAAATTTTTATTTTACTTGTGCTAATCGTGCTTCATTTATTCGTCCGAGTTTCTGTTCACAGCTTTTCAAAAAATATATTTCTTTAAAACACCTAACATGTATAATATCTTGTTTTCTTATAAACTGGTGCTTATCATGGACTGTTGCTATTTTTCTAAATAAACATCACTCTTTCGTCCTCTACTCACAAGATACCTCCTGCACTTTTTTGCTCCTATTTCAAACGTTTTTCATCAGTGAAACAATATTCTGTCAAAAAATCATTTTTTTTTTCAATTTCGAACTATTGTTTTGGCCTATTTTATCATTACTTCACTATTAACAAGTGAAAGTTGTTCCATTCTACAGTAAACCTTCTTCACTCTACATAATCACAAACAGATCGAAAAATTCTTACGATGAATTGCAAACTTTTCTTTGTTAATTTAACATTTTATATTCAATTACAAATCGTATTTTAATATTCAAATATTCTTTTAAATAATCACAAAAATTTAATCATCCCAATAATGCTCTACCTATTTACAAATATTCCTTCTTTTACTGAATACCGTTCTGTCCGATCAGAAACTTCTCCTTCATAAGTAGTTACTGTTATAATCAGTCACTAAATACCGTTCCGTTCGATCTGAAACTTCTCCTTCATAAGTCGTTACCGTTATAATCAGTCACTGAATACCGTTCTGACCGATCAGAAACTTATGAAGGAGAACTAGTTACTGTTATAATCAGTCACTGAATACCGTTCTGTCCGATCAGAAACTTCTCCTTCATAAGTAGTTACTGTTATAATCAGTCACTGAATACCGTTCTCTCGGATCAGAAACTTCTCCTTCATAAGTAGTTACCGTTATAATCAGTCACTGAATACCGTTCTGTCCGATCAGAAACTTCTCCTTCATAAGTAGTTATCGTTATAATCAGTCACTGAATACCGTTCTGACCGATCAGAAACTTATGAAGGAGAAGTATTATTGTTATAATCAGTCACTAAATACCGTTCCGTTCGATCTGAAACTTCTTCATAAGTAGTTACCGTTATAATCAGTCACTGAATACCGTTCTGTCCGATCAGAAACTTCTCCTTCATAAGTATTATTGTTATAATCAGTCACTAAATACCGTTCCGTTCGATCTGAAACTTCTCCTTCATAAGT